TTCCATCGCAGTATATACGTGTATATATATCAGCTTACTCCAATTAATAATAATAATAATAATTAATTAATTACCAATATTGCGCCTTTTAACATGCAATGATCAAAGACGCATTACATCATGAATCCTAAAAAAATCTTATGAATTTTTTAAAGAAAATAAAATTAAAAATACTAAGAGTTAATTAAACGCTAGTTTAAAAAGATATGTTTTGAGTAAGGATTTAAACTGTTGAACTGTTTTTGATTTCCTTAACGAGATGGGTAAGGCATTCCACAATTTGGGAGCAGCAACAGAAAAAGATCTGTCTCTGAAAGATGTCAACATCTTCCCACGAGGGAAATCTAGTAGTAATCCATTATTTGACAGTACCTGATTACAGATATTGGCCGGGCGGACTTAAAAGTAGCATTCTTGTTAGTAAAATTTCTTTATCAAGATATAACATCTTCTCCCTAGCCTGTGTACAGACGTCCCATTTCTTTCTTACTCTCGCTTTTATTGTCTGTTGCTTACGAAATCTGAACGTTTGCAGCAGGCTACATCCCACTTGTGTAATTTTTAGACTTGAAATATCTTTTTTTAAGTTAGCTGATGAAAGGTCCATAGTCTGCGAAATCAGCCGTCTCGCGCTCCTCACTCCTCGCCGCTTAGACCGCTGCGTTTGGCCAGGAGGGGCGTCTGCTCCTCAGCGACAAAAATTCCGTACTGATGACTTCAATGTTTACATAATGAAGTCATTGGGGCTAAATTTAAATTTGGTCGATTTTATGTTTCTCCTGGTCGATTATGGTAAAGGTCTGTGTTCTTAGGCAGCAAAACTGAAATGCTTCTAGCTGCTAAAGAAAATGTTCTGTTCATCGCGTTTTATACTTTTGACCTATTGAACCGTTTGTGTTCTGTCTGTAGTTCGTAAACAATAACTAAAACCTATAACAACTACATCGACCAAACAGAGCTCCTGACCAGATTTTGGACAGATTTTACATCATCAGTATGAAATTTCAGTCGTTCAGGAGCAGGCATCCCTCCTGGCAAAGGGTGTGAAGAAAAACGGCTGTTTTCGCAGGCTAAAAGTTCCAGGGTAACGAGCTCAAACGTCACGTTCTTTTCTTTTTTAGAAACAGAAATTCCCACAGTGACAGTGCCTGAAGTCATTGTGCTGAGGCGTAGTGAAAACATAACACTCGCTTGTAACTTGACAGAGGGCGAAGATGGCGGTAATACAGGACTGAACAGGATTTCCTGGTATAAAGATGGAGTGTTGAAGAGAACTTTACGAAATCCTGAGCCAGGAAACCCCCAAGGCTCTCTTGAACCTTTGAAACTCACCAATGTAGGAGTCAAAGATGGTGGAAATTACACCTGTCTTCTAATAGTGCTATTACGTAATATAGCAGACAAAAAATACAGTGTGTCTGATAGCACTATGGTTGAAAGTGAGTACACTCTACTTGGTATGTCACACAGGACAGAGTGGGGACAGGAAGGGTAATCCCTATAAAAGCCTATAAGGGAAGGGTCCGCCCGAAAGCGGTCCCTTTTTCCGGCGTCAGGTATATGAAAGGGTAGGGAAATTTGTCTTTTTGGTCTGTAAAATGACCTAAAAAGGCTGCAGGAGGATTTTATGGCTGCGAAAAATTTGAGAAAATTTCCTAGTTTTATGATTTATTTATATTCAAAAGAAAGTGCTTTTAAAGCAGTGAAAAGGGAAGGAAAGATATGTGATAGGGGTACGTATACAACTTGTCTATGGAAGGTATACAAAAAGGCCGAGGTTAGGAATTTTAATTTCAAGCAAAGGGGAACAAGATTCAGAATCATTTTCATGAACGTAACATTGCGGAAGTACATGGTGGTATTGGTAAGATGCGAGAACTGGAAAATATTAATTGCTTCCAAGAACCAAGATCAGGCGAGAAAGTTGCTGCATTTTCTTCCGATGTCAGCAAGAAAAAAAATGTTTGACTTGTCAACAAGTTGCCTACATTATCCTTGACTCTAGCACGTAGTTGTTCCGTAAGTTTACTTCACTTCTTCACTTCTTCCTGCAACTGGGTTTTCGAGGGTGAGGATATCGAATATCGGAGAATCTGACAACCATATCGGATAAACATCCCCAAGGGCCATGCTGTCTGATGTATATATATGGATTAATACCAAGACTTTAAACTATAATTTGTCGCTTTCAATTAGTTGCTGCTTGGCTTGATAAGCAAAAAGTGGATCCTGAATATCAGGGCTACAAAGGACGCAATGTGTCCTTGGAGTGTCCAGCCAAAGGCTTTCCTCTACATGTGGAATGGAAATTTAAGAAGAAAGGAGAGGACAAAGTGAGGTCCTGCATCGGTATGTTTCCCAGTCATTTTGCATTGAATTGGAAACAGGCTTTACACAATTTTAGACAATTTTACTTCTTAGAAATTTCATAAGTCAGGTGGATTACGATCAGCGTGGTCCTGAGTAGGACTCTTGCTAAGAATGGACGTTTCCAGTTTTATAGAAATTAAGACGGAATCCATCTGGGAATTGAGTAATTTATATTTTCAGTGGACAAAAACTTTGCACCAGAATAATTCAAACAATATCGCATTCTTTTTTAATTATATGCTTCAAGGGCTATAGACTGATGTAATTAGATATCTGTAATAACACCGAAGAAACTTTCTTATGAGAGCCCGAGAAAATAAATGTCAAATTTCAGAATTTTACCTGTGTTTTCACAATTCTTGTGAAATTTGACATTTAGGATTTTCTTGAACTCCCATGAGCATAGTCTTTGGTGTGATTACGGATAACTAATTACATCTAAGTCTCTTGAAAAATGTAAAAAGGATGCAATATTGTTTAAATTATTCTGGTACAAAGTTTTGGTCCACTGAAAATTGAAATTACTCAATTTCGATTCCTGATGGATTCCGTCTTAATTGGTAATGCAGACATGGTGTAAGAAGATGAAGCCAATACTATAGCATGCGCATGGCAGACGCAATTAAAAAAGAGGTGGGCAAGGGGGGAGAAAGACACAAATCCCCAATTCCTCTCCCTTTCCCACCATTCAGGCGCCTGTCACGCACGCTAGAGCTTAACCCTTTCAATGCCAAATTTAGCCAAAAGCAAATTTCAACCAAATGTCTAAATGTCATTTTGTAAAATTTTGAAAAACAAAGAACACCATGTGTAAGTACAGCCAGAGAGCTTTCATTTGAATGGTCACATCATAGGATTTCGTCCACAGACTCAAAAGTTAGAGTCACCATGCAAAACGTCATCAAGGACTCTGGCAGTGAAAGAGTTAAGGAAGACCTACACGGCCAGATCTTGACCCGGATTCTTTCGTATATAGGCACCTGGCCGACCGTATTGCTAATCCTCCCTGGACGGTATGGCAGTCTATCATGGGGTTATCTTAATTAGTATATGTCACCAGTATAACCATTTTTATAAAATAATTAAGATATATCTTAATTATAAAAGAAATAGACCACACTTTCTATGGGTTTACCGGCGTGATATCCCTCTTGGGTTGGTGGAAGAACGCTCGGGCTCGAGATTTACAAGCTTTTCTCGTGTTCTCCCAACATCATTCCGCGAGGGTTATCACGCCTGTAAACCCATACAAAGTGTGGTCTATTGCTTAAATACACCTGGGCGGAGAGAAACATTACGGATTAGTGTATTTAAAACCAATAAAACGATTAAGTAGGGTTGGTTAACAGTACAGGCGCTGTAACTGGTCTAGCATATTTACCAACCGGAAACAAACGGAGCCGCTACTACAGGGAAAATCCCCCGGGGGTACTCTCGCATATAAGCCATATAGGTATGTGCCGCCCCAACGGGTAGGGTTTTTGGGCCTTTTTGATCTGAAAACGGGTACACACTTTGCCCATTTTGGTCTGGAATAGGATATGGTTTACGAGAGAACTACGGGAGTGTGTGAACGTAGTTATCGTTTCAATTCCAAATGAATAAGAACGAAATAAAAAGATGCGAATTAGAAATGCATTTGGCGAATTATTTTGTTTGCGCTCTAATTTAAGTAATAATGACATAATATCTGCCTAAAGGCCAGGTCTAAAAAAGGATATGGATTTTAGAGGTCTGGTCTAAAAAAGGGTGTGGAAAATGACATTTTTTCGGTCTGAAATAGGGTCGGGATTTGTAGAACCGGGTGGCACACCACCACCAAGAATTCCCAGGAGATGCCTTGATGATGAAATGTGCTAGTAAATAATATCTGCGTGCTTTCAGTACACACGAATTTCACTTGTAGGGAACGGTGAAAAAGCATAAACTCCTACTGCTACTTATTCCTTTGTTTTAACTCGGTTGACAAAAGTTTTCTGTGAAGTCAGCCGGTAGATCGTCTCTGCCTTTTCCCTTTCTTTACCTAATTAGTTCTTTACACTGGACGTTATTTACTTTTCTCGACGTCATATAAAAACGGCGTGCCTAAGGGATAACCCAGTCCTTTTATTTCCAACAGATGCATCAGATGGTAAATACCGTATACACCGCGAGGGAATTTATGAGCCTTATTTCCTGACCGTGACTGACTTGCAGTACTCTGATCGGGGATCTTATTACTGTTGCCTTCCCTCTAACTGCTCAGATAGCGTCGAGGGGAACTGCCAGCGTTTTGTTCTTCGGGTAAGAGGTAAGTACTAGATATGCACCCTCGGTCGTGCATATCTGCATGTCTCCATAGTTGAATCTACGAGCTTCTACGCCGGATCGTGTTAAACCATACAGCCTGTTTATTTTCTAAAAGCAGAAAACAACGTCGCTCTGTTGAGTAAAAAAATATCCTGCGAATAGGGATACCCCTCGCTACTCACCGCCGCCCCTCCTCGATCTTTTCTCCCCACTGCACAAGTCTTTTTAATCTTTTCTTTAGTGTGAGAGAGGAGGTTTCTCAAACGAATGTGAGGTCACTGTATCAACTCTCTACGAAATAGGTGGAACCTGGAAAGTCAGGGAATCTAATAATTTCATTTTTCTAAGCTTGGAAAGTCATGGAATTCAATTGCAATTGTCGGTCCTTGAAAGTCATGGAAAATTAAAGTTTTGTTTGATAGATAAGTTACCGCAGATGACAAGGCAAGGACAATGTAAGAAAGAGAGGAGTAATTAAACAGTTCAAAAGGCGCGCATTTTTGCTGGACATCAGAGTTTGTGTCTTTTGAACTGTTTAAGGTCAAAAAATACTCTAAAACAAGAAACGTTTTTGAATTTTTGAAACTGGAAGCTAAACCTAAGGTCTTTGAAAACTTGAAAAGGTCATGGACAAAGTCATGGAATTTGAAGAGCTTAAAAGAGTACGGACCCTGTCTACTTCAATAAATTAAGGACCTTAAGATCCGCGGATGGCGACGGCAGAGAAAACGTCGCTGAAAAAGTGAATTCGCGTTCTTTAAATTTTCATCACGATTACTCCAAGTTACTAACTTTGTCAAATGTAGGCGAACCCTCCTAAAGTTGAATTCCTAAGAACCATATCCAAGTTCAGAAGGAGAGAGGAAATTTCGTCGTCGCTTCAGTGTACTTCCTCTGTACATCGTGAAATTAGGCATTTTCACGTCGTAGTCGTGCAGTGACGGCATAGAAATGTACAAAAAAGCGTGCAAAATTGTTGTTTTGCTAATTAAACCTATTGCTTTTAGGGTGTTCCCGTTGCCGTCACCGTCGTCGGATCTTAAGGTCTATATATTTGAGAGAAAGGTCTCCCCCACACATACCGGGTGAGTTGAGAAAAGTCTTTAGGAGTCCCATGGTTAATAAGTCTGTCACTTTGTTTGATTCCAGATCCTCTGGGTCCTCTGTGGCCCGTTATTGGCATCATTGTTGAAGCCATTGTGCTTTTCCTGATTATCTTTATGGCAGAAAAAAGGGGGAAAAAGAAAAAAAGAGGTACGAAAGTGATTTCCAGCTATTGACAGCTATTCTGTGTTTTCACTCACATGGCCAGCATCTATGCAAATTTATTGGAACAAAAGAAAGCGTTTACATAAGAAAAACATGGCCGCCATGACGTTATGTGAAAACACACAATTCACCGTTGCAACGTATTGGTCCCTGCGCTATCTGAATGTCACCAACACCAGAATTCTACTTTTGTTGTTCCATTTCAGTGAAGATGTTTAAAAATTCGGGGAATTCATCTCTCTCCACCCTGTTAACGCTGTTTCTTAAAAGACTGTCAAAGTTCTAAGCGTCGAGGCGTGACAACAATTTTACAACCACATGGGTGAGGGTTTTTTCCAGTGCATAGTACTGCGCTGTTTGTCTTATGATTTACTGTCAGTCGCGTACGTGGTTTGTTTACGCCCCCGTTTCTTCCGCAGGACAGACCTTGAACAACAACAACTTTCCGAGCCTAACCTGAGATCAGGCTCTATTTTCGTTTCGCGACCTTGTAAGAAGCGGAATGTGTGGAAGCTGCTAAAATTGGGCCTGATCTCAGGTTATTCCAAGCCAATCAGAAAGAGGGTTATAGAATGGTGCTTCGATAAACGTGCGTCTCGGAAAATTTTGGCGCGATCTCAAAATCTGAGAAGCGTTTTGGATGGGTCTCGAAGTCTCGTGTTCGGGTGACTTTTACATCTCGAAATGTCAAAGGGGTTTTGGCAACGGTTCTCAGAGTCTCGGAATTGTCGTTTTTTCTTTCCTTTCTCTGGTCTTCAGGAGTCAAATTTTTCAGAGTTTATGGATACAGCCAAGAGAGGATAAAGGGTACAGAGAAGGCATCCTCCATACACACCCTATTACATAGGTACTTCGTCTCGAGTTATTTTTAGAATCGGGATAAAGTTACCTCGCGTGCTGCGTGGATGTTTCGTGGAGGTTTCGCATAACTAAACGCCGTGCAAAACATGTCGGGCGAAAGGCAATGAAAGCGTAAAGAGATCGAGAGCATGCATTCCTGAAGATTGACGCGAAATGAGTCGGCGCTCACCTGGGAAAAGGGAATCGCTGGACTCTTTGACAACCCGTGAAATCAGTTTAACTTTAATAAAATGAGAAATTTCGCCGGTCTATTGAAACCGGTCGTTTGTACAATAAAACAAGTAGGACACCACGTGTTATTTTTGTTGAATATTAAAAGACTAATAAAACAATAAATATCAAACCAGAAATTGCTCTCTTCAAACTGTAAATTATAAATTATCCTGAGAGAATATTCAGTGTGTTAAGGATTTCCCTGCTGTACTGTTAGCTCTATAGAAGAGAGGGAGGGCGATTCTTTTTTTAATTTCTGTTTCGCTGACACAGCTTTAGCAGAAATCTCTCTTTAGTCGTTTTCGTGGACAAATTCGTGGGTCATCCACGCGAAACACATTCGCGCTATGTGATTGGCTGTTGTCTAATCCCCCTTGAGATCTGTGGTGTTAAAAATAACTCGAGACGAATTACCTATGGAATAGGGTGTGTATGGTGGGCTGCCTTCTCTGTCCCTTTTATCCTCTCTTGATACAGCTTAAACTGAGCTAGTGAATAAGACACTAAACAAGACAAAGCATTATATTGGTGGGCCTCCGCTAGCTTCCATTGCATGGCGTTTTCGGTGGTTTTATTTAACTTTGTTTTTACCATTTTCTCGAAATTTTCGGCTCAAGCCCAAGGGGGTACTCTGGAATTCTAGTGACAGGAATGATGGAATGGGGGCAAAAATCAAAACCCAAATAAATCCCTAGGGCTTCCAACAAAACCCCAAAATAATCCCTGGACTAAAATTTAACACCAAAAAGATTCCATGCCGAATTTCATAGTCGTTAAAATTAACAGAAAGCATTAAGTGATATAACACGAAAAATAGAAACATTACTTTTGAATAGCCCCAAAAATCCCTACCTAAATCAAGCTACCCAAAAAATACTTGCCAAACTTTTCCTACCAAAAAAAATCCCGAAATCGAAAAATTCAACCCCCAAAAAATCCTTTCGATCATTCCTGTCACTTGAAATCTGGCGTACCAATCCCTCCCCACCCCCTAAGTCTTCCGCTCGGGGTTTTGGTTAAGTCTCGGGCTCGGAACTGATAAAATGCTTAGGTCTTGGTCTCGAATTTTGAAACAAGGGTCTCGCAGTCTCACAAAGTCTCGAATTTACCATTCTACTCTACACTCCTAGAATGGGTCCCAGGTGTCTATCTATTTCGCCGGTCAGGTATATTCCTTTTTGGCTTGTGAGGAAAGCGCGAACATTTTTTTTGTTATACTGGTATATGAAAGTGTACACAGCAGTTGCTCTGCTTCGGGAATAATGAATTGAAAGCTTAATTGTCTTTTTTTTTTCTTTCACTTCTATTTCATATTACCTTTCCTGACTGTTGCTAACTTGGATTCCAGTTGATAAGTAAGTGTCATTTACTTCCAGTTTCACTTTTATGTAATCAAATGATAATTTTAACACACGGTAGCTTACAGCCTGAGAAAACAGTCGACATTTGGCAACGTCACCACTGGTTTCTCCGCCAAATTACGTCCGAGAAACGAGCGCACAAATTCCATACTGATGACGCGTCACTACCTAGAGCTGGGTAGAGCATCTGATTGGTCGTGCCGCGTGGGAAATTTGATTCAACCAATCAGAAGCACTACCCAGATCTGGGTAGTGACGCGTCATCAGTATGGAATTTCTGCGCTCGTTTCTCAGACGTCATTTGGCGGAGAAACCAATGGTAGCGTCGCCAAATGTCGGATGTTGTCTCAGGCTAGGTAGATTATTAACACTACAATTTACACGGTCTATATAGTTGTGTTGTTTTGTATTTCGTTTTAGACTAGATAAACGTATAGAATTTAGATCCAGTTCCTCGATTGACAGCGACCGTGGTCAAGTACGCCTACGCAAAGTTGGTGAAACCGCTGATGCCTGAAATTGATTATTCACGTCACGTCTATTGCTTCCGCAAATTGCTTTGCTGACCTATAAATGATGTAAAGGTTGAGAAACCGGGGATTGAGAAACACGAGGAAGGCAAGTGACTCGGCGACATGTGGTACCCACAAAAAGACATGAAACATGCAGATAAATGTCAGAGAAACAAAATCAGGATTTTTGCACTAGGAAAATGTTGGGGTTTAGTCTGTTTGTTTTCCAGTGTCGTCCCTTTTCCAGTGTTAAAGGGAATGGAAAAATAGGATCTCCAAATAAATATAACGGACTATATAATTCATCGACTCTTAAGCTAGTTAAGTCTGGGATGAAATATCCAATTAAGGGTTTCTAAGTAAAATTAATTGCATGAAGTGAGAGCAATATTCATCTAAGGATCGTCCTAAATTAACACGAAAGCTTGGACCCACGAACCCCATAACACGCCTGACTTAATTTGCTAATTAGCCCATACATACATGTATTGCTGGTTTTCAGTGTCACGCCATTCAAAATTGATCAAAATAAAAATCAAACCGTCAGGATGAAGTCCAGAATCTGGGAGATGAAAGGAGGTGAATGTGCAAATACTCTCGCCAAGATTTAGGTCAGAGCAATATTTTGCATACGAGATATCCGGAGAAATGTTTTATCAAAGTTTATAGAGATTTGTATGGAGACGCCATGTGGGTACCCATCTGGATGGGCACCAGCATGGCGGTCAGAAACCAACAGAAACACCTGTCACCGAGTTTTGCTACAAAAGCGTGAATATTCCTCTCGAGGAACTTACAAAGATTAAAGTGATATTTTTTCTAATGGATGAACTGTTCAGACAGCAAAATACCCTGAAACAAGACACTTTTTTAACCTACATGACACCTCTTTAGGCCATTAGTGACATCGTGTGAAAACCAACAATAAGGAACCGAAATGTGTTTATTCTCAGTATTTTCCATGGCCAAAGCAGTTGCTAAGACGGTGTTGCACTGAATATCATGACATCGCCCTATGTAGGCCAATCCGGGAGATTTTTTGCTTGTGGAATCCGGAATGCTGGATTACGGAATCCGGAATACAGTTCAAGGATCCGGAATCCCACCGAGGGACTGGAATCCGGGGTCCAAGTTTCACTGACAAAGAATACCGAATCTAGTACGTGGAATCCGGAATCCATGGCGTTAGAGCGATTTTCTTATGGCCTTGAAAAGTGGTTTCGGTAAGTGTTCATTATTTGTTTTATCAGCCAATGGATGAAAAGATCAAAACATGGACTCTTCGTTTTCCCACCAAAGAAAACCCTAATATGAGCAAGGCATTGTTCGATTGGCCAATGGTGTTGTAGCATGACGTCAAAGCGAAGTATCGACTGATTTCTAGAAAGTTCTCGGGCATGAGAAGTTTTTTCACCCGAGCGTTCGCTTAATCAATCAAAAGCCACGAGCGTTTGTATCCGTTCGACAAACCAATCATATTGCTCTATTTCCGTTCGTTTGTTTTTTCTGTTTTGTTCGCGCGTTTTCATTTCAAAGTCATACGAAAATCGCTCTAAATGTATTTTCTAACGTTTTGTTAGTTTCACAAGAGTGTGTATATTAGATTGCGTAATACTGTAGAAGTATTTAAGGCGTGCTTGTAAGCTGTCTCAAGGGGCTAGTAGCCTATTTAAGCTTTGTTAAGCTATGCAAGAGACATTCGAGGCATCTCTGTCAACCCTAATTTTTTTTATTTTATTTACTGTTGTAATTTTCCCCAAGTTTGTAAAACTGTAACGCTGTTTTTTGTAACGCTCTACGCTCACTTCATCAATAAACGAGATGCCCGCTCCTATTCTATGTTTTGTGATTATTTACATTATTAGTTACAAAATATTTTATAATCGTTTCAGTGTGATCAGTGTCAGGTCCTGTCAGAGTAAAAACCCAGAATCGAAGACTGTAGTGGAGTCCCTTACATGGGCCGAGGCAAATAACAGAGGCCATAAGGGCGAGAGGAATAATTGTTTTAGTAAAATCCAACTAGCTCAGGTCAAAAATATCGAGAATAACAAAATTTTAGCTAGTTAAAGCTAGACTTTAATCCTTTTTTGCCGCCAAAAAGCCCACGCTTTTTGCTACTAGTGGGCTATAACATATAGCCTAGTACTAGCTCAACCAATCAGAACGCAGCATTGTTGATAGACCACTATTTCAATTTACAAACTTTCTAGGACGGAGTATAAAAAATTGGCCCATTTCTAGGACGGGGTATCAGTTTTAGGGTGAATTCTAGAACAGGGTATAAAAAATTGGCCCACTTCTAGAACGGGGTATCAATTTTAGGGGAATTTTTTTTTAGAACGGGGTGCCAATTTGGAGCCCCGGGCAGCACATACCCACCCAAAAAATACCCAAGTGCCCCCCCCGGGGGGGGCTGTGTCTGGCTGGGTGTCATGTTGTTGCACAGACATAGGGCTATCATCTGGTTTGCATTTGGGGTAGTCTAGTTAAATTCCGGGGGGGTGGGATGGTTGTAAAGTTTGATGTGTTTTTGCACTCTTATGCAGTTTGTTTGTGCTGTTTGCATGCAAGCAATGACCCACTCCGTTGATAATGTTCCTAGTCAGCAAGCAGTTGAACTGGTGGTTGTAGGACTTGGTTTTGTCGAGCAGTGGTGGCTTAGATTGTTTTTGGGAGGCCAGCTTCAATTAAAAATGGGGTGAACTGGGGAAATGGCTTTGCAATCGGTGACACCGACACTAAAAATTGCCCTTTAAAATGCCTTATTTTCCAGATTAATGAGGAAAAATTCACTTTTTTTACCTTCAAGACAGACGATTCTGTCAAATGGAAGCTCATGTATTCAATAATTTCTTTTTGAGGTGAGATTTTACTTTTCAAGTAACAAGGGCCATTAAATTATCAATCAGTGCGAGAGACTGACATTTTATAGTAGCCCGGTTTTGAAAAAACCAGGTATATATCCCCAGGGATTCACCATCCAAATGCCTCTTTCACTGTAAAAAATAAAAATGTTAGTAGGAATTGACAGTTAAGATGCAGAAAGGGATAATTGGAGATATCTACCTGGCCCCGGTTGTTCAAACGCTGGATGAGCGCTATCCACCGGATAAAAATCTATCCAGTGGATAACGCAATTGGTTTCCCTAATACTTATCCGCTGGATAGTGATTTACCCGGTGGATAGCGCTATCCAAGGTTTGAACAACCAGGGCCTGGAGTTTTGAAAACCGGGTGGCCTGAAATCTTAAGTCAAGTCCAGCACATTGCAGGCAATCTTTCAAAACTTAATTTGCTTAAAGCCCTGATACTTTTAGTGTAAAAATAACAATCTCGCTCTTCAGGACTAACCACCCTCACCTCTTAACCATGGGCTCCAAATATAACTTCCTGGAATTGACAGAAATCAGAGGAAATTCCAGAAAATTTGCACAAGGGGGGCCAGCTAATACTAGAAAATCCAAATAGCCCCTGTTTTTTAAAAAGACATTTCTTTATTTGTTCGACTTATACATCAAATAAATGCTTCTTCATAATCAGCAACAATTAAATAAATAATTTCAAACGGCTGCTTACAAAACTGGAGCTTTCGTGCGTTCGAAATATTATACCCCGTTCTAGAAAACGCCTCTGAAATGGATACCCCGTTCTAAATCAGGAGCTTCAAAATCACGACCCCGTTGGGCGGCACATACCCGTGTAGGTAATGTATGGGAGTACCCCCCCCCGCCCCCCGGGCACAGCCCCCCATTAATTTGAGGGAGACATTGAGCTTTGAAAGACAGGGGTAAGCACAGGTACAAAAACTCAGCAAATCGGCTCTAGCACAAAGCATACTCTTTACAACAACTCCATCCCCCTGGAATTTAACCAGGCTACCCCAAATGCATACCAGATGATAGCCCTGTGTCTGTGCAACAACAGGACACTTAGTTCGACGGAAGACCCCCTCAAAACTAAAATATGTTACTCTCCGTCGCGATTTATGATTATTATTTTTTTTTCCCAGGAGCCCATCAAGCTTCTTTTTTTTCTCATTTTTCAGTTTTACCGAATCTTGCATCGGTTTAGCCTGTGTTTTATTTTTCTTTTCGTTCTTTTCTTTTGCTCGACGGACTTTGAAGAGAAAATAGAGGGTCTGTGAACAGGCTAGCATCGGTTACAACATCCCGCGTGCCGTTCATAATTATTAAAAATCAAGGTTCTCATTCTCCGTAACCCCCCTTTAACTTTTGTTTCTTCGTTTGTTTCTTGTTGTTGTTGTTGTTTTAAAAACATCCCAAACTTCTCCCCTCACGTGCTCGCGTGACGTGCGCCACAAGCAGCCTCGTTTCCATTCGGCATGCCCGGGGATTGTGGTTCACTTGGAGACCTCGGTCTAGTGCATTGCGAGGTGCGGTTGACAGACCAAGATGGCTTCTTTTGCCGGAATATTTCTGCTGTTCATGGCTTCATTTGTCGCGGTAGAAGCTGCAGGTAGGGCTTGATATGTCTTTTTTTTCATTTTCAGTCAGTAGGCGATCTGTTAAGAATGTCGCAGTTTTGTTGTTTTGTTTAGGCGAATACAACGAGCTCTCGAAAATCGTGTCATGCAATTTACAGAAGTAAACGACTTAAAATTAAAGAAATATGCTGATTTGAGTGACACCTTCTAGAGTCAAAATGTTGGTTTTAATTTTTGTAAGGTTGTAGTAAATTGAATGAACTTCTCGAAACGAAGTTATGGAGTGAGCGAATTCGACAGTGATCGTCTTTGTAGACAAAGTGCTGAAATGAATATATTCTGCCAAAGCAAATGTTAAACTTGTTTACTCGAAGTGAATTTTATTGCGTTATTTAATAAAATAATAAGTAATACAGCAGATATTCAGAACCTATTCGGTGGTTTTATAGCTGAGATCAAATAGTAATTGTAAAAGTTTCTCTTGAATAGTAGCCTGGATTGTTGAAAGCTTGGTAGTTTTCATTTCAAAATGCTTAAATACGCGTGACCAAATTCCTTCTTAGAGAAATGAAAACTCAGCTCAAGAGATGTCCTAGAGCAATGTTGCTTCGGAAGTTGTGCCAAAACATATTTTATAAATATCCGTTTAATTTTAAGTCTGACGTATTACAATATAAGCTCATATTTTTTGGTTACGAATTCATGCTGAGCCAGCGAAACTCGAGCATAAGTTTTCGTATAAACAGAAAACTTCACACTCTAAATTCGAGATTTCTTATTTTAAGAAATATATCTAAAACAAATCACAAAATAAGATTTTGTTCTCATAAATTCAAACTGCCTGTAAAAAGAGTTCTTATCCTATGATTTGCTTTAAAATTTTCTCGTAAAATAAGAAGCGTTTTCTTAAATTGAGAGATTCGGAGCAATCTCGAATTTAGAGTGTCACTTTAATTTTTGTCGTGTAATTTTATTGTCTTTGTGTGTTGTGATGTCCATGACATGTTGGAGCAGGTAAAACTAAACAAGTGACCTTGACAAATCCCTGTCACAAGGAAGTGCATCAAGGGGTGTAAACGTGTTAGACACATAATATTTCCATGTAGCAATAGTTTGTGCAATAGCAGATGTCGCTCAATTGATCTGTGCTGTTCTTGTTGATGAGTTATGACTCCAATCCCCTGTTCATAAATGAATCTAAATTTTTTTCCTTTTAGCAAGGAAATTCCACAAAACTAATACATGTAGTTTATGAAGAGACATGGTACACACATGTAGCACTAAATGGGCTTCAACTGAATGATCTTGTGTGTATAGGGGTGCGAAAGAGTCGAACAAGTTCAACTGATGAAGGGCAAAACATTGGTTCTTAACTTCTAGTGACAATTGTTAAATTAATAAGTATGTTAGTATAAACCATAGTGAAAAAAGGGTCCCCAAAGCTGTGGTAAATTTCACCTAGCTTTTACTTACTGTGGTAACATACAATTACACTTACATTGGTTTACTGAGCTAAATTAGCTGCCATTTATTAGGCTTTATTTATGCCATTGTAGTATCGCTATTTATATGGCAGGATTTTCTGTTATGTTGAAAATATTGTGCATGTACAATTGAAAAATAATTTGAGTAAAATTTCAACTGGTTTGTTAGTCCTGATAACCTTTGGAAGGGATTC